CAATTCAGGATCCACAGCACATTATGTACCACTGCTTAACAGGTAAAAAAAGTGCTGCTTATCCCCTACGAAAAGGCTGTGCCCAGCCCATCAGCAGAAACTCCCTGGTGCTCATTCCTCCTTTATCCTGCCTACATGGCAGGACAGGTTGGTTGTTGGAAGTGAGACCCTTGTGGGTGCTCTGGCTTGTTCACATTGCACGCATGCACAATGAGCTCCCAATCTCTAGCAACACCAAGTGAGCCATTACTGTCAAACAAGAGACAGCACACTTCGACCTATGCGCAGTTTGTACAAACCAGAGCTACTGCTGGGGGGGTGACACCAAGGGGTTTCGGCTGACACGTCATGCACAGCCTACACTTGGATGGGAAAAGGAGCTCAGCTGAGCAGTGTTTTTAATAATAGACTTGTCAAAAACTACTAAAAAAATATATAAAGGAATGCGCTAAATACCAAATCACATGAAAATGCAGATAAATACATAAATAAAATAAAAAAATATATTTATAAATGTCCGTAATTCATATATAAGTCCAAACACCAAAATAACTGATTAAAAAATCTCTTAAACAAGAAAAAACACTGTGTAGCAAAATCCACCACCGAATAAAATGGGTAAATTCACCAGAGCTATTTGCTGATCAAATTATAAATCAGCAAAAATAGCAATTGCTCTGGGAGCGATGATCTGTTGGAGTATCCAGGGGCAATAGACTGCAATCAGCCAAATCAGCACACATGGAACAGCTTTAACTGCAATTGGTCATCATGCCTTCATAACTTTGGAAATGCTCGGGGAATAAAAGAAGAGTATCATGGTGCAGTATATTAAAACAAGGATAATTTTTATTGTAGCCTAAAATATGCACTCACAAGGAAGATGTCCAACCGACACCAGCAATAGCAGCAATATCAGTCTCAAAAAGCTAAAGCAGGGACGAGCCTCGTTCACCGCGATCACTGCCGACAGTCTCGAGGAGCGTCCTGACGTCCCATCCACTAAGCCCCGCCCTACACGTTTTGTCATCCGGTGTCGTCAAGGGGCGGCATGAAAGAAGACGTTGGATGACGAAACGCGTAGGGCACCGAAAGTTTCCAAAGTTATGAAGGCATGATGACTACTTGCGGTTAAAGCTGTTCCATGTGTGCTGATTTGGCTGATTGCAGTCTATTGCTCCTGGATACTCCAACAGATCATGCTCCCAGAGCAATTGCTATTTTTGCTGATTTATAATTTGATCAGCAAATAGCTCCGGTGAGTTTACCTATTTCATTCGGTGGTGGATTTTGCTACACAGTGTTTTTTCTTGTTTAAGAGATTTTTTAATCACTTATTTTGGTGTTTGGACTTATATATGAATTACGGACATTTATAAATATATTTTTTATTTTATTTATGTATTTATCTGCATTTTCATGTGATTTGGTATTTAGCGCATTCCTTTATATATTTTTTGTCACTTACCTTTTCTTTGGTTAGGTTTGCAGCTTTATATATAATTTATTGGCGCTGTGTCTATATATTTTACACTTGTCAAAAACCCTCTCTGTATCTTTATTGATTTTTGAGTAGGGGTATAATGTATCCCATACTCATTCACATAAAGAGGCTGTTTTTTTCCTCTCTAATTTAAATTTTTTGCAATTCTTTTGTTTACATTCAGCTGTCAGCGGGAAACCTGCTGACAGCTGATGAGTCATTGGTTTCTTAAGGACGTTGGGCACCCGGCTTGCTAAATGCCAGCAAAATGCTGAAACAAAAACAAAAATCGCTAATATTTGCGATTTTAATAAGTGTTTTCTTCAGATCCTAGTGTGCATGGGGCCTAAGAATTTAATTACATTTTATTGTTCATAGCCTGGGCACATTATGCACTTTAAATCAAGTCATCAGAGCAGGCCATTATGAGGTTGTACATGGTGACTACTGAAGCTGGGTCCTATTGTCTGTGCTGCTGTATTGATTTTTAGGAGTACATGGGCAGTAGGAATGAACTACCGGTAAGAAGTATTTACAAATCCTGAAAAAACAGTAAAAGCATGCTTCCTTTTTATCTATTTCCCTACAATGCCTATAGCTATAGTGGTGGCTTGTTTTAAAAGCTTAATGCTTGTTCAGAATATGCAAATAATTTAGTCTTGGCACAGGTTCACCCTAACCACATTTCCACCGCTGTATGTTTTTCAATCACCCGGTAATTGTTGTGTACTGAGCAGACATTAGACAGCAGGGTACACTGAGACAATGTACTGAGCTTATCCAAGGGGCTGGGTACCATATGTTCACTGTGATGACCAATGACAGCGATCACATGGTACAGTTTACAGTGCTGATCCCTCCCCTTCCCCTTGCAACAACGGGAGGAGAGAGATGTAGTACTTCTGGATGGGAACAGAATAAATGGAGCAGCAGATGCAACAGCAGAATCATTCATTCAGTTTCAGTGACACAGGGATTTTTTTTTAACCCCTTCATGACCCCTCTTCTCTCCTACACATAATATCTCCATGCTGTCTTCATGTGACCTGTATATTAACCCTTTCACCTCCCTTATCCCCCACATGTGAACATTAACCTCTTCACTTCCTCTGTGCATGACCTGTACATTTAATGTATCTAGTGCATCATTCTCAATCTCCATATTTAACCTCCTCAGTACTGGCATGTTTCTTCATTTCCAAAAAATTGTGGCAAAAAGTGGGATCACCTTGAGATGTCTACTTTGCATAAAAGTGTCATTTGGGGGCTTCTCGCACTATTTGGGCATTTTTATTTTCACAGAAAGTAAGGGAAACATGTTCAGTCTTTTTTCCTTTTTATAGTAAAAAATAAAAATCCCTGCAGTTATTAACCATTTGCCACCCGGCCTATAGCTGTTTGGCGGCCGCAAAAATGCATTAGCTTTCCGGGGTGTACTCCATTTGGCGTCTCCCGCACATGCGCAGTTCACGCGGTTGCAGAGCCGCACAGCAGCGCGATCTATCACTGGCCGTGTACCTCGGACACGGCCAATGACAGATCTGAGTACCGGCCCCTGTTGCAGGTACCATGTGACCTGCTGTGACCAATCACAGCAGGTCACATGACAGTTGTATACAATGGATGGCTTCATTCATGCCATCCATTGTATACTAGGGTCTAGCTGTGAATGGTCACAGCTAATCACATGCACATGTCATGTGATTAGCTGTGGCCAAATCACAGCTAAGCACAAAAGCACTAAAAAAAAAAAAAAAAAAAAAAACACCTGAATGAATCGATGTCATTCAGGTAAATGCTTGCTTATAGCAAAGTAATTCTTTGCTATAAGCAAATTGTGTAAAAAAAAAAGTACTGATCACTTCCCCAAAGTAGTACAATGTTACTACTTTGGTCATAGTAAAATCTTAAAAAAAAAAAAGTAATAAAAAATTGAAAAAAAAAATAAAATATATATATATATTTTTTTCATTTTGTCACCAGTCAGTGTCCCTGTTCACCGCCATGCCAGTTATATGATGATGCTGTACTGCACTGGTGACAGTATGTAAAAAAAAAATAGTGAAAATAACTTTTTAAATTTTTTCATTTTCCGAAAAATTATGACAAAAAAAATACAACTTTAAAAAACTCGCCATTCCTCTTATGGAGTACGTCGGACTCTCTACTTTACAAAAAGGGGTCATTTGGGGGATATCTGTACTGTTCTGACATTCTTGGACCTCAAGAAATTAGATTGGCTGTCAGTACTTCAGGATTGATCAATTTTCAGATCTATATCATAGTTTGTGAACTCTATAACTTTCCTACAAACTAAATAATACATCCTAATTTGGGTTATTTTCACCAAAGACATGTAGCAGAATACATCTTGGCCTAAATTTATGAAGAACAATTATTTATTTGTAAACTTTTATAACAGAAACAAAGAAAAACGTGTTTTTTTTCAAAATTTTTGGTCTTTTTTTCTTAATTTAGCAAAAAATAAAAACCCCGGCGGTGATTAAATGCCACCAAAAGAAAGCTCTAGTTGTGTGAAGAAAATGATAAAGTTTTAGTTTGGGTTCAATGTTGTATGACCGCGCAATTGTCATTCAAAGTGTGAGAAAGCTGAAACCTGAAAAATGGCCTGGGCAGGAAGGGGGTAAAATTGCCCGGTATTGAAATGGTTAAATGCCACAGGTATTTAATAACTGCGGGGATTTTTATTTTTTACTAAAAAAAGGAAAAAAGACTGAAAAAAGACTAAACACGTTTCCCTTACTTTCTGTGAAAATAAAAATGCCCCGAATAGTGCAAGAAGCCCCCAAATGACACTTTTATGCAAAGTAGACATCCTTTTTATAGTAAAAAATAAAAATCCTTGCAGTTATTAAATACCACCAAAAGAACTTTGCCTGTCTCAAAAAAATTATATAAAACTCATTTGAGTACAGTCTTGCATAACAGAGTAATTGTCAGCAAAACTATCACATCGGAGAAAACTGAAAAATGGTCTACTATTGAAGGGGTATTACAGGTTGTTACTTAGGTGGTTAAGCAAACCTAAACTCAAAAAGTGAAGATTTGCTGTTACATTTAGAAACATCTAGAAATGTTAATTGTAGAATGGCACCCTTAAAAACATACTTTCGACTGACAATTAGCAGTGTACTTCCTGGTGTGTGCCTAGGCACTCCTGTGTCTATAACCTCATAGCAGTATATCTACAGTGTGAGATCTATTTTACTGCTGCCTCTAACGTCTGGTCTGATAAGATTTTGTCATTTCACTCCTGTTCTGCTTACTGTTCTCCTTGCCGGAGGCTATGACATGAGGAAGTAAAACTCTGCCTCTAACAAAATGCCCACTCCACACAGAGACACTATGCCGAACTAGGCATGGTAGGTGAATAATGGGAAAAAAAACAACAAGAGGGAGATGACAGGCAACATTGGTGACTAGTCTTTTGACCTTTGTTGGCCTTTTTTTTGGACACAGCTTTCAGAATTCAGTTTCTCCTTAACATAACACTCACCTGAAGTAAGTGCCTTTGGCTGCTCGGCGTTACCCTGGTTTGATGTTGTCTGGGCTGAGGTTGATTTTATAGAAACTTCTTTATCGCTCTTGGTGATCGGAGAAGCGGGTGTTTCTTTTTTGTCTGTTGCAGCAGTTGTTGTACTTTTTGCAGTTGTTGTACTTTTTGCAGTTGTACTTTTTACAGTTGTGCTATCTTTTTCAGGTTGTCCTGCCGAATCATTTTTTGGTACTGTAGTTGTAATTGTGTCATTTTGAGCAACTGTAGTCGAAGTTGTATTTTCTCTTGTTATGTTAGACACTGTTTCAGAAGGTTTGGGAGTTGGCGTAATTGGCACGGTAGATTTCTCACTCCCAGTACTTGGTTCTGTATTAATTGTAGTAGCTACAGATTCTGTACTCATCTCTGGAATATTTGGTATTGTTGTCTGGTTGGTACTTTCTACAGGTCCACCTGTATGGTTAACTGACATTGTTGTTTGGGGTGTGCTGGATGGAACAGTTGTTTCTGGTGTGTCATGCTTTGTGCTGGCTGGGATATCTGTAGTCATTTGGTCCTCTGAGGCATTTCTGCTTGTGTTTGTAGGCAGTACTTGGGGCGTAGTTGCAATACTGCCATTGCTACCTGCTGTTGCAGTTTGTTCTGTGAGGTCTGAGGTATTGTTAGCCAGTGTGGATTTCTCGGTCACAGGACCCACAGTCTCTTCCACAGGTAAACTCACAGGTATTGAAACTGATGTAACAGTCGGTCCTGTTGTTTGCAAATGAGAAGTGGTTGTGACCTGTGTTGGTGTTGATGGCTCATCTCCATAAAGTCCTGGTAAATAAGAAATATTGCAAGAAATCAAAAATAAATGTGGAGAAATACAATGACTAACACAGCTTATAGGAGAAAGCAAAGAGCATTTCTATTACTTAAAGTTGAAGTTTAATCAGTTTATATTTTGCCTTCGCTGCCCCCACCCTTATTATGAACATGCTAATTTTCAAAGAAATACTTTCTATTTTCATACTATATTTCAGACACAGTGACGCAATCGCTGGGTCTCTGTGCTTCTCTATGCAATGCAGGCAGATCACAGTGGGTGACCAGGGATGGCAGGGAGCTGTACATAGCTTTCTAAGAACATCACAACATCCTTCCATGTTACTTCTCTCAAAAGCTCTCACCCTGATGTAGGGAGTGAGCTGGCTCTTGGGAGGAGATATGCAAATAAAAAAAATGCATTGAAGGGTGGATGCCATTATGAATCTGTGGGCGTTCCTAAAAAAGACTACATTTACATTCATACTGCCCTAGGTAACACCCACATGTGATACTGAGCTAAAGAACTGATATCCAATGATTGAAATGGATGGAACAGGAACAGTAAGGTTCCATGCACACTGGGCATTTTAATAACATTGGTAACGCTAACTGTGCAGTCACATTAAAAATGTGAGTTTTTCAGCATTTTGCATTAGCCTTTAGCTGCGTTTTTTGACCCCCCAATTTTTGGGGATGGTTTCTTTTGTCTTTATATGTTAAATGCCCTACTCTTGCTTCAAAGCTCTGTGAGAATGTTAAAAATGGGGGGTGCGAGTTTGTGATTGTAGCTACGAATGGGGCGGTGTTTTGTGGGTGTTTTTAATAGTGGGCATGGTCAGTAGGCTGTGCTTGGATTTCATTTTGGAAATCTGGTAAACTTATGGCAAGGTTCAAATCATGGACCAGGATCAGCTCTGTGAGTGACAGGTAGGCCGGAGTGTCATCTGGAGGAAGTGGCTCTCCATTACCTGGCTCATCGATCCTTGGAGGTCTTTGTATGCTGTGTTGGTGGTTCACCCATCTTCTCCTATGCTGCTCTTCCCCTGCCTCAGTTTAATTGTGGATTAATTGTTCATTAAAGTTTGCTACTTTTACTGATTCAGCACCTTGGCATATGTGTTTTCTTGCATTTTGTAGTTAGAATTAAAAATCAGGGAGCTAGGAGCTAATTGATTCAGCTCCTGGGCTTACATCTGGACAGCTGGTGGATTGAGCAACAAGCCCAACCAGCACTTCCTGTAGTCACTAAGACTAAGTACTTGGCACCATTTTGAAATGCTTCTTGGACAACTGCCTACCCTCCTGTTTGCTTGCACTGTGGCATTTTTACTACTTTACTAATACAGGCCATACATGGTTCAAATTCCAAACAATTTTTTCGTCTGTAATCCAATGGTGCCATCAATGATTGCGAAAATCGGTCGACCAAGTCATAAAGTTCACTTCATATAACAGGCAAAACTTATGTTCCTTCCAGGTCACGGCTCATGTGCATATTCTTTTCGGAAAAATTATCGTACGATTTGACCATCATTGAGTCGAAAATCAGTAGTTTTTTACAAATTTTCCAACATGCCCGATCACCAAAAAGGAAAGGAACCCCAAAAATCCGTTGGTGCCATTGACCCACTAACAGAGTGAAAACCGGACGATTATTCTTAGGTCTGATTTTTGGACGAAAAATTGGTTGAATTTCAACCCATGTATGGCTGGCCTTACTCTTTCACTAGATGTAGATTTCAACTCTGTTTATGATTATTTCTTTTGTTTTAGGGGATGTACCTTCCAGGGTGCGTATGTTTCCCATAAATCCTCCAGTGATACCTATTATATTTGTGGTATTAGTTCTCTCATAGCGAGACTAGGAGAATATGTTGGACAATTTCTGCAGCTTATGGTGGTCAACATGTCTTCATACATACGCAACGCTAAACATGTACTAAATGCTCTGAAGAATGTTAAGCATAGAACTGATTTTCTGTTGGTGACAGCTGCTGTTGCTTCTTTTTCATAGCATCTCCCACAGTAAGGGTATGGATGCAGTCAATTAGTTTTTGGCCAGAAACTCTTTAAGATTGTGAGAAATCATATATCATAAATATTTTGGTGTTTTCCATGACCCACAACTATTTTTGGTTTGGCTGGAAGTTCCACCTTCAAAATAAAATTGATTATTTTTTAGTTTTACAGGTTTTTGCGAAAATTACTTTTTTATTATATCAAGACACATTTACTTCAGTTCTGTTATGTTCCAAAATAAGGTGTAAATAAGAATGAGCTCTAGCAGCTGTCAGATAGACAAAAAAGCAGAACATAAAACCTTTCTTTCTTAAAGATGCCCACAGTAATTTCTGATCACTTTCCATCTTTTTTTTTTTGTGAAATCAAAGAGGAAACTATCAGACAGATTAAAAAACATCCACGCATTGCAATATGATTCAACAATGAATGAATAATATTTGTTCAAGTCCATCTTTCAGAGCATTCAAAAAATATTTCAATTATAACTAAAAGCAAAACCATTTTTTAGATTTGAATAGTGTTTGAGGGGGTTCAAACATTTGTCAGGTTTATATGTCTGCTGCGTCTGTGTTAGGGAGTTATACTCTTCCTAGTTGTCCTGATCACCAATGTAACCTGGAGTGAAAGTGGTGGTTAATCCAAACGAGGAGAGCTCTAGCACACAGCCTGTGATCCACAGCCACAGCCCTGCATGTTCCCCTGTACTGTGAGGGGGGGGGGGGGGGGGTGTCCCTTCCCACTGATCAGGGCTCAGAGCTCTCCTCAATGAGCTCAGCAGTGTGAGACTTTAGCTCACCGCCCGCTGCTTTTCAGAGCTGAGAGATCCTGTGTAAAGTCTGCACTTTCAATGGATGTAGAGAAGAGAGGGCTGCAGATAAAACAGGTACACCTTGTTGGAGGAAAGTTAGAGGATGTGTTTCATCTCTGTGTAATGTATATCATCTGAGGATAGTCACTTCACTGGGTAAATGCAAGGATTTACAAGTACTTTAAACTTTAAATAACCTGCACCCCTCCAAATAGGAAATAATAGTAAAAACATACAAAACAGAGAAAAACTGCTCATGTAAGTAAGAGTATAAGCAAAAAGCATATGAGAACAAATTAGTAAGCAGAAAAATGTAGTACTAATGTCAACTGGCAGGGGGGAAGAATCTAAAACCTTATCTCATTTAAGAACTGGAAAGTATTTTCAAGTAAATCTTGAAATAGATTAATATTGTTAAATATTGAAATTAAAAAGCGGAATGTTCTCATTGTACAACAATCCTATCCTGCTGTAATTAATCTTTATTTAGGTATAGTGTACTATCTGTTCTCTTACATCTATAACCCTATTAAAGTCCTTCTAAATAAGCGGAAAAATAAAGCAGTTGGGCTTGACCTTTGGAAATCCTCATTTTTAAAGCAATATCTACATGCGTGTCTAGTTTATTTAAAATGGGGGCTCCTGCACCCACTGGTATTATATTTGTTGGCGCTTTTTTTTGAAGTTAAGGAGAGGATACCATTGCCTTTCCAAAGGATCAGGAAACTATTTATATGCTGACACCAAGCAGCAGTAGTCCTAAAGATGAAGTTTGGGGTACACGATAAAAAAACATCATAATCATCTCTATGCTGCAGCATCGGTGTGCTGCTGCAACTGTCCCCCACCAGCTCTAAGATCGAGAGCTGAGCAATCACATGACTACTGGTCACTGTCAGTTTGCTCAAAGAAGAGCAGTGACTGTTAGTCACCACCCTCCGCTCTGCTGCTCTAGTGCTTACTGGAGCGCTGGGCAGGAGAAGGGGTGAGTGCAGCTGGGCTTCGACTCTCAGCTGTGCACAGAGAGCCGGAGTCAGCTGTCAATCAGGTCGCTAGATGGATCCTGACAATATGGTCGGGATTCTTCCAGAACCTCAAGCGGCTCCATGTCAGTGGGCAAAAGCCTGCTATAAGCTGACTCTGGGTTACAGGAGAGCACATATAAATGTGCTCCTGTGACCCATAAGAGAAGTATGGCCAAAAAAGCTTCAGCCATATTTCTTTTAAAAAAAAATAACCCCCTCTACCCATTTAAAGATAAAGTTCTCACCTATACTTTGGGCTTACTTACTCTCACAACAGCCCCTATACATTAAATATAACTGGGCTGCTTTACTATAATATATTCACTTTTGTTATCCAATAATGTGAAGAGCAATTAACCGTTCACTTTGAATAGACCATCATGTGCAGATCAAAAAAGTAAACTGAAATTTGGGTTTCACATGATTGGGAAATGTTTGACAGGAACATTCATAACTGTGAAGATATTCACCTCCCTTAGTAAACCAGCCTTAAACTGTATTGTATCATTAAACCAAAAATAACTTGTCCAAATCAAAGTTTAAAACATTTTAAAACAAAACCTTTTCAATCCTATTTAAAGTAGTAGTAAAGGTTGAAGGCTTTTTACCGTCATGTACTCTTTGCATGAAGGTAAAAACCCTCAGCGTGTTGTTCCCTCCATACCCCTCTAATATTCACTTGGGCCTGATACCGATCCAGCGCTGTGCGTGGGAGCCTTGGCTGTCCCGGGTCTCTCTCTCCTCATTGGCTGAGACACAGCAGCAGGAGCCATTGACTCCCGATGCTGTCAATCACAGACAGTGAGCCAAAGAGGAGAGAGCGGGGGGCAGGGCCTATAGACACATATAGAAGGGCTCAGGAGCGAGTATACATCAGTGACCCCATAGCAAGCAGCTTGCTATTGGTGGCACTGGTCAAGAGGGAGGAGCCAGGAGTGCAGGCAAGGGACCCGAGAAGAGGACAATTGGGGCTGCTCTGTGCAAAACTTTCACACAGAGCAGGTAAGAGTGTTTGTTATTATGGAAAAAAACCCCAAAAAACCAACGCTTTAAATACTACTAAGTTCAGTGTATGGAAGCAGGTAAATAGGAAGAACAATTCTAAGACTTTTAAATGTTATTTATTGGCAACGATATATTGATGACATCATGTTTCTCTGGGTGGGTGATTTACATTCCATAGAGGAGTCTACAGTAATATTAGTAACGATGATA